CCCATCCTCAGGAGCCATGCCCCCAATGGAACCATCACCTTCTCTAGAAAGTCCATACCTACAAGTGGATTAAGCTGGCCCCATCCTTAATAGCCATGCCCCCAATGGAACCACTACCTTCTCAAGAAGGTCCATAACCGACTTAAGCTGGTCCCATCCCTAGGAACCATGTCCCCAATGGAACCACCACCTTCTCAAGAAGGTCCATAACCAGATTGAGCTGGTCCCATCCCTAGGAGCCGTGCCCCCAATGGAGCCACCACCTTCTCTAGAAGGTCCAGACCCACCAGTGGGTTAAGCTGGCTCCATCCTGAAAAGCCGTGCCCCAAATGGCCTAGAGGACGTACGGGCACGTCCAGCTACCTCCCACCCCAAGGAATGTCTCCCATCTGGAGAGGCTTTCAGAGCAGAAACAGACTCTTTCTGAAGAGAGAGAGAGAGAAAGAGAGAGAGAGAGAGAGAAAGAGAGAGAGAGAGAGAGAGAGAGAAGGAGGAGGAGGAGGAGGAGGAGGAGGAGACTCACGCGTCTGTGTATCCGGGGAGCTTCTTCCTCCATTTGGGCTTCTTCAGTGGTTGCCCATCATCGTCCACAATGAAGTCATCGATGTCTAAGAAAAACAGCAGCAAGAACCCCTGCAGAGCTGCTCTGGCTGGGCTCCCGTCTCCTCCCTGACCGGGGGGGGGGGGGCCCTGCATTCGCCAGCCGGTCCGGGAGACCCTCAGACCGGGCAAGGGACATTCTGAGCCCCCAAGGGCCACTTTCTAAGATGGGAACAATGCTTGGGGCATCCCTGGTAGGGAATCTTCTGGTATTGATTCCTTTCCCACTCCTGCTTGGTGTGAGCAGGGGCAGGAATGAGCCAGAATAACTGAGCGGGAAGGGACCTCGGAGGTCTTCTAGTCCAACCCCCTGCTCGAGCAGGAGACCCTGTGCCAGTGATGGCGAACCTTTTAGAGACCGAGTGCCCAAACTGCAACCCAAAACCCACTTATTTATTGCTGGGTGCCGGGTGGGCGTGGCCCACTGGGTGGGCGTGGCTGTGGTGGTCATGACAGGCGGCTAGGAAGATGCCGCCATTCCAGCCTAGAACAACGGAGAGCGTTCCCAACAGCCCCGCTGGGCTTGTTTGAGAAACGAGGGCAGCTGAAGGAGCAGCAAAGGGATTCAGGGCAGGAAGGCATGTGGACTTCAACTCCCAGAATTCCACAGCCAGCATTGCTGGCTGTGGAATTCTGGGAGTTGAAGTCCACATGCCTTAAAATTGTCAAGGTTGAGAAACACTGCCCTAAAACAAGGCAAATGACCAGCTGTCTGCAAGGAGTACAGTTGTGGCCAAAATTGTGGAAACCTTTTGGGAAAAGTGTATTTTTGAGGTTTAATGGCTAATAACACCACTTTTTTTGGGGGGGGGGGAGTAGTACCATAAAATTATATATCAATGGAAAGATAATTTAATCAAGAATGTCATGCAACAAAGTTTGTTCAATTATCTGGACTGCATTCTATGAAATGTTAGAGCCAAATAAACAGAAAAAGGAAGCACAACTTGCTTAGGTTGATCTCAGGTAGCTTTCCTTCACCTGATTGTAGCCAATGAGCATGAGTGTTTAGAGAGCCAATCAGGTGTCATCTTGTTTTGGCCATGAGCCAATCAGATCACAGCAGGATCCAGTTATTGATGTCCTGTATTGAAGCTGAGAGGAGGACATTTGTCAGTGTGTTATGTGATCGCTATCAAGTTGGTTGGTTTTTTTGGTGTTCTTTCATTTAGCGAGCTTGTAAAACGTAATAAAATTAAAATAATGATGCAAAGAGTTGACTGGTCGCTCAGAAAGCGATGTAAAATAGAATTATTAAGTGAACAAGGCTTCAGTTATAAAGAAATGAGAAGAAAAATGGGTGGAAACTTAACCCAAGGTGGCATTTCTACTGTACACTTTTTCCCAAAAGGTTTGCACAATTTTGGCCACTGCTGTATAAATCCTTCCGTTCCCCACCATCCAGCCAGAGCCGAAGAAGCTTCTGGGATGAGAAGAGAAAAGTCTTCAAAGGAAAACGAGAAAGTCCAGGTGCCTCCTGAAAAAGCACCTTTGGGACTTTAGCCATGACCTGCCTGGAGGGCTGAGAACCTCCCAAGACACCTGGAGGAACAGGTGATTTAAGAAACGGGGTCCTAGAAAAATGGTATTTGGAAATTAGTCAAGCTTAAAACAGGATCTGGATTTGTAGAAGCTAAAATGTCATTGAAAATTACTACGGATCGATTGAATTTTATTTAGAAACGTACTAATTTGATTGTATTATTCTAATTGAGAGAAATAGAGAGGGGAATTTTTTAAGGAGCTAAATTTGAACTGTACATTTATGACCTGGCTTGTGGATAACTGATTACCCTTTCTCCACGATGTTTCCTAAGCACTTTGATGTAAACATTGAAAAATGAATAAAACTTGTTTTTTTTTTTAAAAAAAAACAACAAGAAACAGGGTCCTACAGATGCTCTCCCTTATTCTAGGATGGATTAGCAGCATCTTCGTAGCCGCCTCTCTCTCCGCTGCCTAATACGCCAGGGAGGTCCAATCTTGGCCTGGCCTACCTTGAAGGACTGTCGGCCGAGCATAATTAGCAGCTCCCTTTTTTTTTTTTTAAACCTTCTCCATTCTTTTTGCAGCTGGACTCGGATTCCTCCAAGCAGGAGGGCCGAATACTCGCCGCCCGGGTCTCTTTGGCTACTCATCTCCCCTGGGGGGCCCCTCTCCCAGCAAGCCCCAGGGCCACACGTACCGGACTCGTCTTCCTCTTCGTCCTCCTCATCCTCAGCTGCGGCCAAGTGCCCGTCGCCTCCATCGCCCCCCTCCTCGCCTTCCCCGTCCTGGAAGATCTCTTCCGCAATGGCTTCCTTCTCGTGTTCCTCCTTGCCGTAGTCCTCCTCCTTGTCGTCTTCATCATCGGACATTTTCCGTACCCGCCTGAATTTTTGCTGTGGAGGGACACATTTGAGTCAACACCCGGGTCTCTGACCTCAAGGAGGCCTCCCCTTCCCCGCCCCAGGGCCTGCCCGTCGCCACCAACCAAGGGACCAGCTGTTTCAAGCAGCAAAGCCCCCAGAGCAGGGGTCCTAACCCTGGCAACTTTAAGACTTGTGGACTTCAACTCCCAGAATTCCTCAGCTAGGTCTCCAACCTTGGCCATCCGTGGACCTCAACTCCCAGAATTCCCCAAAGGCATGACTGTGTGGGGCACGTGTGCGGAGAGGGTGGGTGTTTTTTCTTGACTGTTTGAGCAGGGGGTTGGACTAGAAGACCTCCAAGGTCCCTTCCAATTTCATTATTCTGTAGGGAGGGGTAGGCAGCTTTGGCTCTTTTATGACTGGTGGACTTCAACTCCCAGAATTCCTGAGCCAGCCATGCTGAGGGGAAAGGGAGAGGTTTCCAAGCTGAGCCAGGCTGGCTCAGGAATTCTGGGAGTTGAAGTCCACCAGTCATGAAGGGGGCAAGGTTGCCTACCCGTGCTGTAGGGAAACAGTCTCCTAACTTGGCCACTTGAAGACTTCTGGACTTCAACTCCCAGAATTCCCCAGGCGGCTGGGGAATTCTGGGAGTTGAAGTCCAGAAGTCTTCAAGTGGCCAAGGTTGAGGACCCCTGCCCCAGGGGACCCCCGAAGGAACGGGTGAGTTGGGGAAGAGCTGCGTACGGATGTCCACTAGCAACACAGGCCTTCTCCTGATGCAAGGCGGGCTGGGATGGGACAACTCGCCACGGCCAACTGAACGACAGAATGACTGAGTTGGAAGGGGCCTGGGAGGTCTTCTAGTCCAACCCCCTGCTCACCACGGCCAACTCACCGCGGGATTCGCTGACTTCCTTTTATTTCGGTTGACGGTGTTTTCATCAAAATTGTCTTATCTCTTGCATCCAAAGAAACCAATCCAATTGTTAGCAGCTTTTGTAATGCTTTGGTGGATAATAAAAAGAACCGATCCCCCATCGAATTCTCCTACTCTGAGTTGTCCTACAACGGGTTGGCCGCAGTGAGTAGGCCATGGTGAGTTAGCCGTAGGCCTGGGGTTGACAGTCGTGGCCAAAATTGTGGAAACCTTTTGGGAAAAGTGTATTTTTGAGGTTTGATGGCTAATAACACCACTTTGTTTTTGGAGTAGTACCATAAAATTATATATCAATGAAAAGATAATTTAATCAAGAATGTATCGCAACAAAGTTGGTTCAATTATCTGTACTGTATTCTATGAAAAGTTATAGCCAAATAACCAGAAAAAGGAAGCACAAATTGCTCAGGTTGATCTCCGGTAGCTCTCCTTCATCTGATTGTAGCCAATGAGCGTGAGTGTTTAGAGAGCCAATCGGGTGTCATCTGTTTTGGCCATGAGCCAATCAGATCACAGTGGGATCCAGTGATTGATGTCATGTATTGAAGCTGAGAGGAGGACATTTGTCAGTGTGTTATGTGATGGCTATCAAGTCAGTTGGGTTTTTTCGCGTTCTTTCATTGAGTGAGCTTGTAAAACGTAATAAAATTAAAGTCATGGTGCAAAGAGTTGACTGGTCGCCCAGAAAGCGATGTAAACTAGTACTGTTAAGTGAACAAGGCTACAGTTATAAAGAAATGAGAAGAAAAATGAGTGGAAACTTAACCCAAGGTGGCATTTCTACTGTACGCTTTTCCCAAAAGGTTTGCACAATTTTGGCCACTACTGTATTTTATTCATTTTTTGGTTAACTTTATGGGTTGCCTATCTCAGGGCTTTTCAACCAGTGGTATGGGTATCACCTGTGGTACATTGGCACCTGGCAGGCGGTACGCGACCATCCTAGAAAAGTAGCAGGGGAGGGGAATGAGCTGAACCGGTGGCACCACCGCACAAGCCTGAGCGAGAGACGGCTGGAGCTGCAGGGCTCAGCAGAAGCGCCAGGATCAGTGCTTCGGGGTTGTCAGGGCTCAGTGGAAGCGCCAGGATCAGCGCCAGGATCCAGCTGGAGCTCAGTGTTGATCCTGGTGCTTCTGCTGAGCCCAGAAGAAGCGCCGATCAGCTGGAATGTTGCAGCGTCTCCAGGGTCTTGTGATTTACATTCAGATGCTTGGCAACTGATTCATGTTTATGACGGTCACAGAGTCCCAGGGTCAGGTGAAGGGACCAAAACCTGCTGCAACCACCCAGCAGACGGGGGGAATAAAAACCAAACACCCCCCACCCCACCCCCACTGCCAATCCTCAACAGAAATGCTCACAACCATGAAAACCCTGGACAGGAGGAAGAGCGCCGCCGGGCGGGCAGGCAGGTGTCTTGCTCAGCACTTTTTTCAGTGCCATTGTAACTTTGAACAGTCACTAAGTGAACTATTGTAAGTCGAGGACGACCTGTACTTTATCACTTTTTTCCTTTTTTGGGGGGGGCCCATCAAGTTTTTGACACCTTGCTAGGCGATTGGTGGTACTCGGATGTTGCCATATCCTAAAAGTGGCACAATGGGTGAAAAGGTTGAAAAGCCCTGGCCTATCTTACCGGGGGGGCCCAGTGGCTTACAATACCACAAAGGAAGACAATAGCAACAGAACATAGACTTATATACCGCTCCGCAGGGCTTTACAGCCCTCCCTGGGCAGTTTGTAATCTCAGCCCCCCAGAATCTGGGTCATCCTTTTACCGGCCTCGGGAGGGACATAAACAGAAGCCAAATAACAGAACTGGAAAATAAACAATGCAAAAGGACACCAGGAGAACAGAAGGGTCCCAAGGACCACCTTCCTCCCCCTTGACCTTGCAGTCCCAGAGGCCCCCCATGAAACTCACCCGTTTCACTTTGACGCCCAGGTTTTCTTCAATGAGGTCAAAGTCGTCGTCCTCCAGGCGGTCGTCAAAATCTGTCGGGAAAGAGGAAGTGATGCCGAAGGGGTTTTTGCCAGCGCTGGTTTTGCTGGCCTCCGTGCCGAAATGATGTACTCAATAAAGCTTTACGTTAAGAGTTCGAAAGGACTCAAAAGTTGTGTTCACTTGGCGGGGTTCGTCAGTCAGAACCCTGACAACACTTTTAATAGAATAACAGAGTCAGGGCCCTGGGAGATCTAGGCCAACCTGTGCCCTAGCAGAGATCCTACACAATTAACCAGTGGAACTACCTGCCTCCAGAAGCGGTGAATGCTCCAACACTGGAAGTTTTTAAGAAGAGACTGGACAGCCATTTGTCCGAAATGGTATAGGGTTTCCTGCCTGAGCAGTGGGTTGGACTGGATGACCTCCAGGGTCCCTTCCAAATTTTTTTTTTTATTATTATTATTATTATTATTATTATTATTATTATTATTATTATTATTATTATTATTATTATTATTATTATTATTACCATTATCATTATCATTATTATTGCAAATGGTTGTCCAGTCCTTGAGAACTTCCAGTGTTGGAGTACCCACAACGTCTGGTGGCAGGCTGTTCCACTGGTTAACTGTTCTGTCAGGAAGTTTCTCCTTAGTTCCAGGTTGCTTCTCTCCTTGATTAGTTTCCATCTGTTGCTTCTTGTCCTGCCTTCAGGCGCTTTGGAGAAGAGCTTGACTCCCTCTTCTTTGGGGCAGCACCTCAAATACTGGAAGATGCTATCATGCCCCTCCTCCCAGCCCTTCTTTTCACTAGAACCAGGGGTAGGTAACCTTGGCTCTTTTATGACTCGTGGACTTCAACTCCCAGAATTCCTGAGCCAGCTATGCTGGCTCAGGAATTCTGGGAGTTGAAGTCCACGAGTCATAAAAGAGCCAAGGTTGCCTACCCCTGCACTAGACATACCCAATTCCTGCAACTGTTCTTCATATGTTTTAGCCTCCAGCCCCCTAATCATCTTTAGAGCAGCATACTACATTTGGGTCTGTCCCACACCTTTCCTACCTGATGGGCTGATGGGATGGGGCAAAGCCGCTTCCATGGATATGCTGGCCCTACGCCATGTAAAGCTTTATACCAGGGGTCCCCAACCCCCGGTCTGTGACCCGGCATCGGGCCGTGGCATGCCAGAACCAGGCTGCCCACATAAGTGAAGCCCCCTCCACGGGATGCAGGCAGCACGCGAAACCAGGCCCCCCTCCGGTCCACGGAAAAAAACCTCTCTGCACGGAGCCGGTCCCTGGTACCCAAAGTTTGTGGGGGGGGGCTGTTTTATCGCTAATAACCGACACCTTCCTAGCCACTGCGTGCCTGTCCCAAACACTTACTGCGTTTCCTCTTCTTGCGCCCGACGTCATCCTCCGAGTCTCCGGAATCGCTGGCCTCTTCCTCCTCCTCCTCTTCCTCGTCATCATCGTCGTTGATGAAGCCTTTGAGGTTCCCTTGCTCGTCCTGGTCATCCATGTTCTCTTCTTCTTCCTCCTCTGAAAAGGGGCGGCCGAAATTAAATAAGTAAAAACCAAAAGGAGACGGGGAGACCCGGCCCTGAAAGGGACCCAAGTGTAAAACCTGACAGAGGCGGAAGAAAGCCTGTAGAACGAGGAGTCACACAAGTCCCTTGGCTTTGGATCGCAAGCCGGTTTCTGAAAGAATTACACGGCAAGCATCTCTCCTTCTGGGGATGCGGATCCAGTGAAGCGAGGAGCGAAGCAGCCGTCAAAACGGCCGGCATCTGAGCTCCAATTCCAGCAAGGCTGGACGTTGTGGGGCTCCTGAAAGGCTGAATGACTTATTATGACCAAACAAGCCCTTGTCACAAAGGACCAGGGTGTCTGTCTGCCATCTCCGGGGTGACAGCTGCTTCTCCGGGCAGGGGCTGGGACAGAGAAGGCCTGAGTCAGTGGTGGCGAACCGATGGCACGGGGGGGCAAGAGGCGGCACTCAGAGCCCTCTCTGTGGGCACGCACGCCGTTGCCCCAGTCCTAGGCCTTCAGCTGGGTTTTATAAAACCTTTTCGCTTTAGGTCTCCACCGACGTGGAGACCTAAAAAAAAAAAAGGTTCAATCAGTCAATTTCAACTCCTCGCGGGGAAAAAAAAGATCTTGCAAAGTTGGAATTGATGGATTGAACTTTTTAGTCCCAACCAGTCTGCTGTTAATACTGCAGCCACGCCCACCCGGCACCCGACAATGCATAAGTGGGTTTTGGGTTGCAGTTTGGGCACTCGGTCTCTAAAAGGTTCGCCATCACTGGCCTGAGTCGAGGTCTCTTGAGGAGACCCCGAGCTGGCAGCTCTGTGAATTTTGATGGGGCAAGCCTAAGAAATCAGAGAAAGAAAGAGGGCCCCATCTACAGTATGTGTAGGGCCTGGGCTATGTAGGGCTTTACAAGGTGGGGCTTGAGTTGCACTCCAAAGGCCGCTGGGAGACTGCAACTGGGAGAGCCGAGGTATTATGGGTGGGCTTCAAAACTTTGTGCCTTGATGGAGATGGTTGACGGGATCAGATCTCTCTCTCTCTCTCTCTCTCTCTCTCTCTCTCTCTCTCTCTCTCTCTCTCTCTCTCTCTCTCTCTCACACACACACACACACACACACACACACACACACACCGTGCTGCCTGGCTCTTGGTCTTAGTCCTTACACCTCTCTTTTTAATCGTAACTGCTCTTATATTTATCTTCTTTTATTGTTTGCAAGCCACCCATGGCTGCCGTATCGGGAGATGGGCAGCATACACATTTAGGAAATCGATTTACGCCAGGAGCGCGGTGGCTCACGGGGCTAGGATGCCGGCTAAGAGGTTTGCAAGCCCGCGTTAAGAGACCTGGGTGCTGCTGTAGGGCAGGGTGAGCTGCTGTCCTTCGCTCCAGCTCCTAGATGGGGATCTGAAAGGAGCCCCCCCCTCCCCTGGGCGTCCCGTGGGCCTCAGTGATGTCACTGGCTAATCCTTTCAACCTGGAAGCGCCTTAAAAGGTGCCTCCGACAGGGAGAGGGGAATCAATTTACAGGGGCATATTCTGGATTGCCCAAATCTTTGCTGTCCCAGGGCATTCTGGACCAATTGCAGCTTCTGAATGCTTTTCAAGGGCAGCCCCACAGGGAGAACATTACAGTAATCCAGGGGTCTTCCAACTTGGCCCTTTGATGACTGGTGGACTTCAACTCCCAGAATTCCTCAGCCAGGCACGCGTGCCTGGCTGAGGAATTCTGGGAGTTGAAGTCCACCAGTCATCAAAGGGCCAAGTTGGAAGACCCCTGCAGTCATCCAACCGCGATTGGATCAGGACACGGGGTTACCCTGAATACGGCCCACAGGATTTATTTTATTGAATGTATTTGCTGTCCGTCTTGTAACGAAATGACTTTTAACGTTGACAAATTTAGGGACGGAAAGCCGAAGCCGTGCGCGTTGGGAACGAAACTCACCATCTTCATCTTCCACAAACTTTTTGGGGGGTCTCGTGACCACTTCCCCGTCTTCGTCATACTCCTCCTCCGATTCCTCAGCTTCGCTTTCCACGAAGTCGGACATGGCTGTGCTCCTGTGTCGCGCTGCCTGGAGGGGGGGAAAGAGGCTGGAGTTGTTAAGCAGGCCTGCGCAAGCTGCTTTTTACGATCATCGCAGAAATTACGCATTGATACCTTTCTGCCGCCCTGCCGGTTTAACTTATACGCAGAGCGCATCGTGAGAAAGGCAGGGCTAGAGGAATCAAAAGTTGGAATTAAGATTGCCGGGAGAAATATCAACCACCTAAGATATGCAGATGATGCCACTCTAATGGCAGAAAGCGAAGAGGAACTAAAGAGCCTCTTGACACGGGTGAAGGAGGAGAGGGCAAAAGTTGGTTTGAAACTCAACATTAAGAAAACCCAAATCACGGCATCTGGCCCTCCCAATTCCTGGCAAATTAATAATAATAATAATAATAATAATAATAATAATAATAATAATAATAGTAGTAGTAGTAGTAGTAGTAGTAGTAGTAGTAGTAAAGTTGGAAGGGACCTTGAAGGTCATCTAGTCCAACCCCCTGCTCAGGCAGGAAACCCTATACCATTTCAGACAAATGGCCGTCCAGTCTCTTCTTAAAAACTTCCATTGTTGGAGCATTCACAGCTTCTGGAGGCAAGGAGTTCCACTGGTTAATTGTCCTCACTGTCAGGAAGTTTCTCCTTAATTCCAGGTTGCTTCTCTCCTTGATCAGTTTCCATCCGTTGCTTCTTGTCCTGCCTTCAGGGGCTTTGGAGAATAGCTTGACTCCTTCAATTGATGGGGAAGAAATGGAGGTAGTGACAGATTTTATCTTCCTGAGCTCCAAGATCACCGCAGAGGGGGACTGCAGCCAAGAAATTAGAAGACGCTTGCCCCTGGGGAGGAAAGCTATGGCAAATGATCAGGGGACTGGAGGCTAAAGCATATAAGGAACGGTTGCTGGAATTGGGTCTGTCTAGTTTAATGAAGAGAAGGACGAGGGGGGACGTGATAGCAGTCTTCCAGTATCTCAGGGGCTGCCCCAAAGAAGAGGGAGTCAAGCTGTTCTCCAAGGTGCCTGAAGGCAGGACAAGAAGCAACGGATGGAAACTGATCAAGGAGAGAAGCAACCTGGAACTAAGGAGAAACTTCCTGACAGTGAGAACAATTAACCAGTGGAACTACCTGCCTCCAGAAGCTCTGAATGCGCCAACACTGGAAGTTTTTAAGAAGAGACCGGACAGCCATTTGTCCGAAATGGTATAGGGTTGCCTGCCTGAGCAGGGGGTTGGACTAGATGACCTCTAAGGTCCCTTCCAACTTTACTATTATTATTACTACTACTATTATTATTATTATTAAATCTAGACAGCACACTGAAAAGCAGAGATATCACCCTGCCAACAAAAGTGCGTAGAGTCAAGGCCATGGTTTTCCCAGTGGCGATGTATGGCTGTGAAAGTTGGACCGTAAGAAAGGCTGAGCGCCAAAGAATGGAGGCCTTTGAACTCTGGTGCTGGAGAAGACTCCTGCGAGGCCCCTGGACTGCAAGGCGATCCAACCGGTCAGTCCTGGAGGAGATCAACCCTGACTGCTCTTTAGAAGGCCAGATCCTGAAGTTGAAACTCAAGTACTTTGGCCACCTAATGAGAAGGAAGGACTCCCTGGAGAAGAGCCTGACGCTGGGAAAGATGGAGGGCAACAGAAGAAGGGGACAATGACAGAGAAGGAGGGGGCTGGATGGAGTCACTGAAGCAGGAGGCGTCAGCCAAATTTAAATGGAATTTAAATGGAATTAAAAAGAATGGAGGCCTTTGGACTCTGGTGCTGGAGAAGACTCCTGCGAGTCCCCTGGACTGCAAGGCGATCCAACCGGTCAGTCCTGGAGGAGATCCACCCCGACTGCTCTTGAGAAGGCCAGATCCTGAAGTGGAAACTCAAGTACTTTGGCCACCTGATGAGAAGGAAGGACTCCCTGGAGAAGAGCCTGATGCTGGGAAAGATGGAGGGCAAGAGAAGAAGGGGACGACAGAGAAGGAGGTGGCTGGATGGAGTCCCTGAAGCAGGAGGCCTGAGCTTCAATGGACTCCAGAAGATGGGAGAGGACAGGAAGGCCTGGAGGAACATTGTCCATGGGGTCGCAATGGATCAGACACAACTTCACAACTAACAAGAACAACTTTCACATTCAGAACATTTGCAACTGACGACCAGAGAATATTAGAAACCTTTCCATTTCCCACCAGTCAGTCAGAACTGAAGAGGCTTCTGGGATGAGAAGCGAAACATTTTCAAAGGAAAAGAAAAAAAAACCAGGGAAGTCCAAGTTGCTTTTTGGGAAAAGCACCCCTGGGGCAAGCACGGCCTGGAGGATGGAGACTCCCCCACGGGCATTTTACTCATTTACAAATAAGAGAGTGAGGTAGTGGCTAAACAGCCCTGCACAAGCACACGACAGGACGAGAGGTCAGCCGATTCCAGCAGTTCCAAGTCCAAGTTCTTTTCCAGAGAACAACAAACATTTTATTACCACTCCCAGGAGCGGACTGATCAAACACAATCTGAAGATATATCAGAGTGTGATTAATTAATTACTACTGTTTTCCACTCTTTATGGCTTGGGAGGAGAATTCTGCACGTGTCTAGGTGACCTCTAGATGCTTTTCTCGTAGGAAGAAAAAAAGGCTACATTCCAGCAGTCAGAACAGCCAGGCAGCTCAACTTACAAGCATTCATTTAGTGGCCGTCCAAAGTTGCAACAGCCCTGAAAAAAGTGACTTGCGACCATTTACCACACTTAACGACCGCTGGAGCATCTCCGGGGTTCCATGATCCAAAAATTCAGATGCTTAGCAACGGGTTCGTATTTACGACAGTCGCAGCGATTCCCTTTTGCGACTTTTTGACAAGCAAGCTCAATGGGGGAAGGCAGGTTCCCTCGAAAACTGTGTCGCTAACTTCACAACTGCAGTGATTCGTTTAACAACGGCGGCAAGGTTGTAAAATGGGGCAATGCTCATTTAACAGCTGTCTCGCTGTTGTGGTGGCTTTGCTGTGGTTGTAAGTAGAGGAGGACCAGGCCTCCTTAATAAAGGCTTGTGCTAGCTCAGGGGTAGGCAACCTTGGCTCTTTTATGACTCGTGGACTTCAACTCCCAGAATTCCTGAGTCACTTTGGCGCTTTTATGACTTGTGGACTTCAACTCCCAGAATTCCTGAGTCAGCATAGCCAGCATAGCTGGCTCAGGAATTCTGGGAGTTGAAGTCCACGAGTCATAGAAGAGCCAAGGTGAATCAGGGAATTCTGGGAGTTGAAGTCCACGAGTCATAAAAGAGCCGAGGTCGCCTACCCCTGGCCCAGGCTCTCCATAGGTATTACCCCAAATTCTACTAACTGGAGCCCGGCACGAAGTAGCTGTGGCAGACACTGCTTCTCACCGCAAGGCAGCCCCGACAGTGGCAGTGCTCCAATTGGTTCCTGGAGCCCCAGCCTACCACCTGGATCCCACACCTGCTCACGTGCAGGGCTGAGACAGCCACACCGATCCAGCTGGTCCAGTGCCACATTTGGTGGCGGCAATAACAAAGGCTCAGCCCTAAATTTGTTGTGAGGAGCCTCAATCGCCCCCAGGCTTGCAGCTGCATTGGCCCAGGTTCCTCAGCCTAAGGCTACAGCGGGGCAGGAAGTCAAAGGGCAGGTTGCTAGACCTGCGCGAGGACCGCTGGCCTCTCGCCAGGGTGCTGTGAAAACAGGGCGAGGCAAGCAAGGGACGGCTAAACCACACTGGCTAAACCACACTGGGATCGTTCCAGAAGCACGGCGGCAGAGGCAGGCCACCCCCCTCTCTGTACAGGCGGTCCTCGAATTACAACAGTTCGCTTAGTGACGGTTCGAAGATACAACGGCACTGAAAAAAAGAGAGACTGCTGACCGTTTTTCAGACTTTCAGACCGTTGCAGCATCCCCAGGGTCACGTGATTTACATTCAGATGCTTGACAACTGACTCACATTTATGACGGTGGCAGTATCCTAGGGTCCCGTGATCCCCTTTTGCGACCTTCCGAGCAGCCAAGTCAATGGGGAAGCCGGATTCACTTAACGACCGGGTTCCTAATTTAAGAACTGCGGTGATTCCCTTAACAAACACGGCAAGAAAAGTCGCAAAACGGGGCAGAGCTGACAACGAATTTCTCACTTAGCTTAGCAACATAAACTCTGGGCTCCATTGTGGTCGTAAGCTGAGGACTAACTGTAGTTCAGGATCCTTAGTGCCCTCTGAGCTTGGCTGTTTTCTTGCAGACGTCTCACTGCCAAACTAGGCGACGTCACCCAGGCTGGTCAGGAGTGGGGTTAAAATGAGGGCAAAGCCCATTTTCTGATAGTGGTGAGGATGTTACCCAGTTTGGTAAGGAAACATCTGCAACAAAAGCACCAGGCTCAGAGAGCACCAAGGACCCCACTGCTCCCCCCAGCCCCAGCCTCAGTGTCCCACTGCCACCACCACTGCCTAGTGGCCAGCAAAGGCCGGGGGGGGGCACTTTTCTTCCTGGGCAAAATGGAGCCCTCCTTGCAAGCTTCCACTCCACCATCAAGGAGAGAAGTAACCTGGAACTAAGGAGAAACTTCCTGACAGTTAGAACAATTAACCAGTGGAACCACCTGCCTCCAGAAGCGGTGAATGCTCCAACACTGGAAGTCTTTAAGAAGAGACTGGACAGCCATTTGTCCGAAATGGTATAGGGTTTCCTGCCTGAGCAGGGGGTTGGACTAGATGACCTCCAAGGTCCCTTCCAACTTTATCATCATCATCATCATCATCTGATCAAACTGCAACCAGGTGCTTGTGATCCTTGTGGTCACCTTGTCCAAGCACCCATTTTTTTTACTTCTTTACTTGGTACCTGTGAGCCACTGTTGACTCCTGGGAGGCCGCCTGCAGCAGTCCCTGAAGTTTTCTTGGAAGTGGTGGGTCATTGCCTCCTTCCTAAGGCAGGGTGTGTGTGGCCGGCCCAAAGTCACCCAGCCGGCTTTCGCGCCTAAGGCGAGATCAGAACTCACCACCTCCCAGTTTTCTAGCCCGATGCCTTAACTGCTGTGCCAGCCTCACTGTCTTACTACATGATTACATCAAACTGGCAGCCATTATTACAGTAGGCGAATAATACTCTGCAGGAATTTTGTGATTTCCCAAACAAGTTGCTAATTACAGAGCTCTGCAAGGGCTCCTCCCTCTCCTGCCAGCCTTTAAAAAGCATTTCAAAGCATCTCCTAAAAATGAACTACTTCAAAGCCATTTGGCTCTCTGGAGAGACTTCAAATGCCAGAATGCAGGAGTCTTTCCCCACTTGCCACCATACTGGCAGGGGATTGTGGGCGTAGAAAGTGCCAAACCAGAGAAAGCTTCTCCGGAATTATCTCAGCATCTCTAACCATCAGCAAATAACAACAAATAATAGCAACAATCAGCAAAAAACACCGTCTTGGCATTACAGTGGGAGAATTAAGAGTAAAAGATGGATTCACCCAAGATTATAATTCACAAGAAGGAAGCCTGGTGCTGCAGGTTGGGGCAGAGTGTTCTCGGCCTACCAATCTGCCTCCGTGTTATGATAGCTTTGTAGACCCCCAGGATCAAAAAGAAAAAAAGACATCGGGGCATATTTCTCCAACTGATTATTCTTCAGGTAGGTTGGACTACGACTCCCAGAATCCCACGTGTGCCAAGTCAGGCTTCACCCATAGCGCTTAAGTGAAACAACTGCTAAACAAAGCACTCTTCTCACCCTATATTGCAGAAAAGGGTCAAGGGCAAGGCTGCGGTCACAGAGGACCCCAAAACGGAGAAGGACGATGGAGCAGGGGTGTCCAACCGTTGGCAACTTTAAGATTTGTGTGTCAACACTGCTAACGTTGGTTGTTTTTGCATCGACATCTTTGCATCGACAACATGCTTTTAGAGTTGGATGATGCTGGGAGGGGGGGATGTGAACAAGAGTCTAGCTAGACCAGTGTTTCTCAACCTTGACAATTTTAAGGCATGTGGACTTCAACTCCCAGAATTCCACAGCCAGCAATGCTGGCTGTGGAATTCTGGGAATTGAAGTCCACATGCCTTAAAATTGTCAAGGTTGAGAAACACTGAGCTAGACACAACAACACTGGACCCAGAGTGAGAATCAAGGTGATTGAGCCCAGAGCTGATAAGGAATTGGGGGGGCTGGAGAACTGGAGAGGAAGCCGGGGCTTCAAGCTAATTGGGGAATGTGATTTATGACCATTAATTGGAGGAGGGAATTGTGCTTTGATACTATGTGCTCAGGGGAGAGGAATTCAGTTTTTGGCTTTGATTATGCAATGCCGATGTTATGCTACTCGAATAAGGTAAACAATGCCTCAAAGTTCTTTGAAGAGGTTCATCTGTCAGAACCATGACATTGTGGAGTTCCCACCATGGGGAATTATGGGAGTTGAACTTAAAAGTCACCAAAGTTGGACACCGATGCTCAAGGCGATGTCCGAGTCAAAGCAAGCCAGCTGCATGTTCCTCAATCCCACCTGGGCAAGGATCCGTGCCCAGCTCACGCAGACCCGCCAATCAAAACCTTTGCAGGATACACCAAAGTATGAGAAGCTCAGGAATCCAAAAAAAGGGGGGGGTCAGGATGGGTGGGAGGCCTTCCAGGTTTCTTTCCCTCTTTCCCTTTGCCTGCCACCCTTAATAATAATAAACCCTTTATTATCAAAGTATAACATGTATACAGTGAAATTGGCTGAGCCTCCCTCTGTGCCCCCCCTCCCCACAAACTCACGGTGACTACAAACCCCCAACTTATTTCACCCTGTGAACTAATTGCACATCACACTCTTGCATTTATTCTGCAGCGTTGCAGGATGCTAGGGTACAGGCCGTCCTCGCCTTACGACCACAACGGAGCTGCAGGTTTCCGTGGCTGAACAAGAGAGCTGTCCAGCCAGTTTTTGCCCCATTTTATGACTTTTCTTGCGCCAGTTGGTAAGTGAACCCCTGCAGTGGTCGAGTTAGTATAACAGGGTTGTTCACTGAATCTGACGTGGCCGATCGGAAAGCCACCCAAGGGATCACACGATGCTGGGACTCCGCGACCGTCATAAATAGGAGTCAGTTGCCAGGAGTCTGGATTTTTATCTTACGGCCATGGGGATGCCGCAACGGTCCTAAGTGTGAAAAATGATCATAATTCGCTTTTTTTCAGTGCTGTTGTAACTTCAGACAGTCACTAAACGAGCTGTTCTGCCTGTAACACAACTGTCCCAGTGGGGGTTCTTCACACCCAAGAAGAGCCCTGTGGTATTTCTGACTGCCGCTCAGCTTCAGTACATGTGGCCCATCAGCCACCACATACACACACACACACAAAGCACCCCAAATCCTCCACTTCTCTGCCTTCCTCACCTCTGGAGGGCGGGGGCCGTTTTGGAAACCTGGCTGAGCAGCTGAAAGAAAACACTAGAAATGCAACAGGAAATCTCAGCCACAAACAGCATCCTCTTATTCCCTCTCCTTTATCAGCAGCTAGTCCTCGGCTTACGACCATTCGTTCAGCGACTGAAGTTACAACGGCACTGGAAGAACGGTGAGTTATGACCCGTTTCTCACACTTACGACCGTTGCGGCATCCCCCTGGTCCTGTGATGGAAATTAGGGACGCTTGGCAACTTTTGTGACCTTCTGGCAAGCGAAGTCGGGGGGGGGGAAGAAGCCGGATTCGCTGAACAGCCCTGCCACTAACTCAGCAGCTGCAGCGATTCACTTAACGACGGTGGCAAGAGAGGATGCAAAACGGGGCGAAACCCACTTAGCAAGCGTCTCACTTAACCACAGAAAAGTGGGGCACCGTTGTGGTCTTAAGTCGAGGACCACCTTTATTTTTATTTGTCTGTTGTTGTTTTTTTCAACTCCTGTGCCCCTCCCCCCCCCATCTCTGGCCTTAGGCTGCTTATTGTGCCAGCTTGGGCGGGGCGGGGGAAGGGGGGGGCTCCGCCTGGAGGTCAGGCCCACCCCTCCCCCACGGCAACACCAGGCCCACCGNGATCGAGGAAAACAAACGCCCCCCTCCCTTGTTCCTGAAGAGGGAGGGGTCGCCCGCCCCCCTCCAGGCCAGCCCCCCCATCGTCGCCCTCCCTCTCCCCAGAAGGAGGGGGCCCTCCCGGGGGGGCGGTGCGAGGCCCAGCCGACCCCCCCTCCCGCGGGGAAGGGCTCACGGAGGGGGGGGAGTTACGCAATCCTCGGCCTCCCGGCCTCCGAGGGCTGCCCGGCTGGGCCACGGGGCCTCCCCGCCTCCATCCAGGGGGGGGCGCGCTCCGGGACCCTCCATCCGGAGCCCCCCCGCCGCCGCCCCCCGTCCCCCGCCTCACCTCAGTCGGGGAAAATGGAGGCCTCGGCGCTCCCTCAGCCGCGGCGGCGACGACGACGGACGACGACGACGCAGGGGGCGGGGCGGGGCGACGAGAGGACGCGCCGCGGGGGGACTTCCGGGGCGGGGCGCCAACTTCCGCGGCAACACGCGGGGCGCTCTGCTCTGCGCAGAGCTCCCTCTCTGTGGTCAGAGGAGGGCGAGGGGGGGAGGGTGAAAAAAAAAACTGTTGTGCCGGAAGTTCCTGGGCCGCTCTGCGCGCCGCCGCCTCTATCGCTCCTTTGACAGGAAAGAGCCGACCGGCGGCGGAGGATGACGCGGGCGGCGGCGGCGGCGGCGGCGGCGCTGGTGCTGCTGGTTCTGGGCCCGGGCGAGGCGGGCGAGGCGGGCGAGGCCGGCACGGTGACCTGCGGCTCGGTGGTGAAGCTGCTCAACCCGCGTCACGGGGTCCGCCTGCATTCGCACGACGTCCGATACGGGTCCGGTAAGACCCGGGTTCGTCGGTTAGCGGGGGTGGGGGGGGAGGGGGAGCGGCGGGTGTGAGAGGGGCGGCGCGCGCTCTGCGCATGCTCAGGGGCGCTCCCGTCCTTACCGGAAGCGGCTTGTGGGACCCCCCCCGGGAGAACCGCCCCTCTCTCCGGACCCCAGACCCCTTATTTGGGGGGACCCCCCCGTCTGCTTCAGGGCCCCGTGAAGAGTCACGTGGTCCTCATTTTACGACCACAATTAGGATCTGAATTAGGGCGGCTAAGCAAGGCGGCGGTCAGGTGAGGCTCACCGTGGTCGTTAAGTGAATCGTGGGGTCGTTAAGTGAACCCTGCTTCCCCTGTTGGAAGCCAGCCCGGCAAGACCTCAAGTGGTTGGGACCGGTTTACAAGGGCCTGAATGTTGACTGCGAGGGCGCTACGACGGTCGTAAGTGCAAGGACCAGTCGTCACTTACTTCGAGGGGCTGGGTGCGGTCTGCACATGCTCAGGGGCACTCCTGTCCCTACCACAAACAGCTCACACCACCACGAGGCCTGACCTTCTCTCCAGCTGGGGCCCAGACCCCCTTATTTGGGGGGGAGGCTTCTCGCCCTCCCCGACTGCTTCACAGCCCCACAATCAGTTGCTGGCCCCAGGGATAAGAGTCATGTACAGGCAGCCCTTGACTTACAGCGGTTCGTTTAGTGACCGCTCAGAGTTACAACGGCACTGGAAAAAGGGACTTATGGCCGTTTCCCACACTTAACAACCGCTGCAGAATCCCCAGGGTCACGTGATCAAAATTGAGACTCTTGGCAACTGACTCACATTTATGATGGTCTCAGTGTCGCGGGGCCAGGTGACCCCTTTCTGTTCTTCTGACCAGCAAAGTCAATGGAGAAGCCAGATTCATTTAACAACCCTGCTTCCTTCCTTGGGATCGCCTGATGGTGCCCTTTCCCAGACTGGTCCCACCGTCCCCCTCACAGCACAAACGGCCACCAAGCAACTCAGGGCAGCAGCAGAGGGGATTTGAGGGCTCCCCCCCCCGCTTCAAAGTTTCTTGGGTGCGTCTAGCGGCGAGCAGGAGAGCATTATCGTGAACCAACACCACACCGGAACTAGTGCCATAGGAAATCCCTCCAAATGTGAAGATGCCAAAGGAGTAACTGCTAGTGAAGTTCATGAAGCGTGGTTCAACCATCAATTCAGACATCTACTGAGAAACCTTACGAAAACTAAGACGAACCATCCATAACAAGCGTCGGGGCCTGCTGACTTCCGGTGTGGTATTGGTTCACGATAATGCTCGCCCACACACTGCTGGATGCACCCAGGAACTTCTGAAGCAGTTCTGTTAGGATGTTTTTGATCACGCCCCCCCCCATAGCCCAGATTTGGCACAGAGCGATGACAATTAAATTTCAAACCTTGTAAGACGTTATGACAAGGGCCTCCATTTGAATGGTGATTATGTTGAAAAGTCATGTAATGTTGAACAAAGAAGCAACCTAGAATTAAGGAGAAACTTCCTGACAGTGAGGACAATTAACCAGTGCAACAGCTTGCCACCAGAAATTGTGGGTGCTCCATCACTGGAGGTTTTCAAGAGGAGACTGGACTGTCACTCGTCTGAGATTGTATAGGTTCCCCTGCTTGAGCAGGGGGCTGGACTAGAAGACCGCCAAGGTCCCTTCCAGCTCTATTCTATTCTATTCTATTTCTATATTCCATTCTATTCTATGTTCTATTCTATTCTATATTGTATTCTATTCTATCCTGTAATTCTATTCTATATTTCCTATTCTATTTCTTTTAATTTGAATTCTAATTCTATCTTGTAATTCTATTCTATTTTGCTCTATTCTATTCTATTCTATTCTATTCTATTCTATTCTATTCTATTCTAATGTGTATAATAAAAGTTCTGTATCTGCGAGTGTCATTGATAACCAAATGGAGGTTTATTTCCGAAATGCCTTCGTATTAATCGCTGTCATTGAAGTGTTTTGCAGGGTAAACAATCAGGATGGAGATGGAATTGAACTGGCAGGGTCAAAGTCACCTGTTACCTGTGCTTGTCTGTTCGACCAGGCAGTGGACAGCAGTCGGTGACCGGAGTCACAAGTGTGGACGACGGCAACAGTTACTGGCGAATCCGGGGCAAGTCGTCCAGCGTTTGCGAAAGAGGCATCCCGGTACAATGTGGGCAGACGATCCGCTTGACCCACATCAACACAGGCCGCAACCTGCACAGCCACCTTTTTACGTCTCCCCTTTCGGGCAATCAGGTGAGGCAGCCAGGTGACCAGGAATGGCTAGCAAGCCCTTCCGCCCTTGTGGAGCTGGCAGTTCATTTTTAAATTTGGAGTCACTTTGCAGAGTGAGGTGGCCATTGCATTAAATCGGGGGGGTGGGGGTGGGGAACTCTGGCCTCATTGACTTCACTTCCCAGAATTCATGGCTGGCTCTAGAATTCGTGTGGGTGGGTTGAAGTTCAGAAGTCATAAAGGGGCTGTAGTTCCCCACCTCTGTATTGAATGAATGAGTGAAGAAGGAAGGAAGGAAGGAAGGAAGGAAGGAAGGAAGGAAGGAAGGAAGGAATAATAATAATAATAATAATAATAATAATAATAATAATAATAATAATAATAATAATAATAATAATAATAAAGTTGGAAGGGACCTTGGAGGTCATCTAGTCCAACCCCCTGCTCAGGGAGGAAACACTATACCATTTCGGACAAATGGCTGTCCAGTCTCTTCTTATAAACTTCCAGTGTTGGAGCATTCACAGCTTCTGGAGGCAGGTGGTTCCACTGGTTAATTGTTCTAACTGTCAGGAAGTTTCTCCTTAGTTCCAGGTTGCTTCTCTCCTTGATGAGTTTCCACCCGTTGCTTCTTGTCCTGCCTTCAGGGGCTTTGGAGAATAGCTTGACTCTCTCTTCTTTGGGGCAGCCCCTGAGATACTGGAAGTCTGCTATCATGTCATCTCCCTGGTCCTTCTTTTCATTATGCTCACACATGTTTCTGCGCATGACAGTCTCCTTCCTGAGTTGTGGGTCCCTAGGTACCCACATCTTTTAATAATAATAATAATGATAAAGTTGGAAGGGACCTTGGAGGTTATCTAGTCCAACCCCCTGCTCAGGCAAGAAACCCTATATGCCATTTTGGACAAATGGCTGTCCAGTCTCTTCTTAAAAACTTCCAGTGTTGGAGCATTTACCGCTTCTGGAGGCAGGTTGTTCCACTGGTTAATTGTCCTCACTGTCAGGAAGTTTCTCCTTAGTTCAAGGAAGGAAGGAAGGAAGGAAGGAAGGAAGGAAGGAAGGAAGGAAGGAAGGAAGGAAGAGGAAGTTGCGCTTGCATACCCAGGTCTCTTGCTTCTACAAGCCCATGCTTGTTTCTGTGGCAAGGATGCTTGTGTCTTTGCATGTAGGAAGCTGCTCTCTTAGGGTAAAGACCCCCATCTGCCTGGCTCCTGCCTGGGTCTCTGTCAGGGGTCCTTGCCGCCCCTGCTGATTGGCCGAAGAGGATTGGCTTCCCCTGTTGATTTTTTCAGCCTTCCCTCATTGGTCCAACTCAGTAGAAGAAGTAACTCCATCCCTGCTGCGGCCAAGGATCAGGGAGTTGTAAGGACCCCACCTCTGCTAACCCCCCAAGAGAGCAGCACTCTTGAAACGGGCGTCGTCTCAAAAGGAAACTTTTATTAAGGGGTCAGTGACAGCAGGGAAGTCAAGGCGAGATCTGGGGAAAATCCCGCTTCACCGGTATCGTTAAACTAGCAATCCTCCTCCTCCCACCAAAGTCATCGTGTCCGTGGAATCCAGTCGATCCACAGGGGACACGATGTTTGGGTAACTGGCACCAGTTGCGGGCATCTCAAGGTCTTCCCCAGTTTCGTTTCTCCGTCGCTGTCTCCCTGATAAGGGAGACAGTCTTTTCTCAAGTGGAGAGAGGTGGGAGAGGAAAAGCAGAAAGCAAAAGTTATCCCAAGTGAAAGCAAATTCCCTCCTCCCCCCCCCCAGCAGAATGGCAGGCCCCAAACAAGAGCAGATGTGCAGGGAAAACAATAAGGATTGGGGGACCTGACAGGAGTCTTACTTACAGATGTTTGGAGGCATCTTCTGCTTTTGGAGTGTATTTCATAGAAAACTATGGCTGGAAGGGACTTTGGAGATCTTCTAGTCCAGGGGTAGGCCACCTTGGCTCTTTTATGACTGGTGGACTTCAACTCCCAGAATTCCTGAGCCAGCATGGCTCAGCTTGTAAACCTCTCCCTTTCCCCTCAGCATGGCTGGCTCAGGAATTCTGGGAGTTGAAGTCCATGAGTCGTAAAAGAGCCAAGGTTGCCCACCCGTGGCCTAGCCATTATGCAGAATATCAAGAACTATTTAAGCAGAGTATGAAAAGACAGTCATTAAAAGGGTAGATCTAGGCCAGGGGTGGGGAACTATGGCCTCCTTTATGACTGGTGGACTTCAATTCCCAGAATTCCTCAGCCAGCCTGGCTCAGCTTGGAAACCTCTCCCTTTCCCCTCAGCATGGCTGGCTCAGGAATTCTGGGAGTTGAAGTCCACCAGTCATAAAAGAGCCAAGGTTGCTTGCCTACCCATGTTCTAAAGTCCAACCCACTTGCCCAAGGCAGGAGTCCTTATACCATTCTGGACAATTAGCTGTCCAATCTCTTAAGAATCTCCAGTGGTGGAGCACTCACAACTTCTACGGGCAAGTAGTTCCATTGGTTAATAGTTCTGACTGTCAGGAAATTCCTCTTTAGTTTCAAGTTGATGTCCTTCCTTCCTTCCTCCCTCCCTCCCTCCCTCCCTCTGCTCTATGCAGGATCCTCGTACCATCTCTGGAGGGAAGCAGTTCCACTGATTCATTGCTCTCCCTGTCAGGAAATTCCTCCTTAGTTCCAGGTTGATGTCCTTCCTTCCTTCCTTCCTTCCTTCCTTCCTTCCTTCCTTCCTTCCTTCCTTCCTTCCTTCCTTCCTTCCTTCCTCCTTCCTTCGTCCCACCCTCAGGGGCTTCGGAGGATGTTCCTCATTGCACACTCCTCCCTTCCCCCTTGCATCCACCGAACGCACACAGCCGCCCCCTTTGCCATAGGGCTCTCTGGCAACCGAAGCTTCCCCGTCGTTCCCATTATGGCCACCCCTCCCTTTGGACACCGTCTTTGAACTGTCCCTCCCCGCTCTCCGTTCCAGGAGGTCAGTGCCTTTGGGGAGGACGGTGAGGGGGACTTCCTGGACGACTGGACGGTCCTGTGCGACGGCAAGTATTGGGAGAGGACGAGCGAGGTGCGGTTCAGGCACGCCTCCACCGAGGTGCTTCTCTCGGTCACCGGGGAGCAGTACGGACGGCCCATCCACGGGCAGAGAGAAGTTCACGGCCTGGCTTACTCCGACCAGGACAGCTACTGGAAAGCCATGGAGGGCATCTTCGTCAAGCCTGCGGAATTGCTGAAGGCCGACCTCTACCACACAGAGCTATGACCTTAAAGGGGCCTTCTCAACGCCCGCAGCTTCAGACCATCCAGTCTTTTCCAGGTTGTGGTTTGGTGACCCAGACAGACGTGGGTGCGGGAGACGCCGCTCGGCTGCTGAGACGGGGCTCTTTCCCACCAGCTACCAAGGACAGCGGCGTTTCTGCCCTGGGTCTCGGCCCGCGGCCCGCTGCTGGCCTTCAAACCTGGGAGGGAGGGGGGTCTGGGAATCCGCCGTCAATAAACATTGGATATCAAAATACCCGTTGCAGGTAGTTTGGGTGTTTCTTTGCCGGATTCTCACACTAGCTCGAAGTTACAAACGGCACCGAACAAATGACTTGTGGCCGTTTTTCACACTTAACGATCCTCACAGTCACGTGATCCAGATTCAGACCCCTTGGCAACCGAATCATATTTACGACGGTCGCAGTGTCCCAGGGTCGCCTGACCTTTTGAGATTTCCCGACAAGCAAAGGCAATGGGGGAAGCCGGGTTCCTTCCACACCCGTGTGATTGGCTTAGCAACTGCAGTGATTCACTTAACTGTGGCAAGAAAGGTCGTAAAACGGGGCCAAATTCACAACTCTCCCACTGAGCAAAAGGAATGTGGGGCTCAAAGGTGGTTGTACGTTGAGGACTACCTGAGCCATCTGCCCTTGGGAAGGGTTAGGTCAGGGGTAGGCATGGCTGGCTCAGGAATTCTGGGAGTTATTATTATTATTTATTGAATTTATATACCGCCCTATCTCCCTTACGGGACTCAGGGCGGTGAACAGGCGACAACAAAAACCACGATAAATATACACAATTTCTATCTAAAATCAAATTAAATAACAGGCCTGCTCTAAAAATACCCCATACAAAACCCCCACTAAAACATAATCAAAACTACGCCAGGCCGGCGCGTGCCTTATCTACCCGGAAGTCCCGAGCCGCTTTTTCCGCGTCCAGGCGTTGACATGCATCCAGCCCCCCATCCAGTAAGGTCTCCCGTCCTCGACGGTGTCTCTTCCGAGAGGGGGACCCCCAGCGGTCGGCCGTAACAGACCGGCTGCCGTGGGATTCCTCCGGGAGAGACAGGGAGCGGACTGGTCGAAGGGAGCTGTTTGGTAGGAGGCGGTCTTGCAAATACCTAGGTCCATTGCCACGGAGCGCTTTAAAAGTTGTTACTAACACCTTGAAGCGCACCCGGAAGGCCACCGGCAGCCAGTGCAGCTCGCGCAGGAGAGGTGTTACATGGGAGCATCTAGAGGCCCCCAGGATCCTCCGCGCGGCCGCATTCTGAACTAGCTGGAGCCTCCGGGTGCACAAGGGGAGCCCCATGTAGAGAGCGTTGCAATAGTCGAGGCAGGAAACGACGAGGGCTTGAGTGACCGTGCGTAGAGCGTCACGATCCAGAAAGGGGCACAACTGGCGTATCAGGCGAACCTGATGAAAAGCCCCCCTGGCCACGGCCGTCACATGATCGTCTAAAGACAGCCGAGCATCCAGGAGGACGCCCAGGTCGCGAGCCCTCTCCGCAGGAGCTAATAACTTGCCCCCGATGGAACCAACTGGCTATGATGTGACGCCGGAAACCACAGCCACTCGGTCTTGGACGGGTTGAGTCGAAGCCTGTTCCTCCCCATCCAGACTCGCACGGCCTCCAGTTGAAGTCCATAAAAGAGCCAAGGTTGCCTACTCCTGGGTTAGGTGGACAAAATGGCCAGGCCCAAGATAAACCCCTGGCTGACTGGGTGGCCAACCACTCCAGGAACAGTTCTTTGGGAAAGGGGCTGCAGGGCACGTTTAACAGGAGATGGGCAGCAAATACGTTTCGCCATGAATAAATAAAAATAGATGGATGGATGCACAGGTAGACACGGATGGGTGGATAGATGGATATGTACATATGATGGATAGGAATTAGAACATTGATACAGAGATACATACATACATAGATATGCAGAGATATATAAAAATGGATGGAGAGATAGAAATACCTAGATAAATGATATAGATCAGGGGTAGTCAATCTTGGCTCTTTTATGACTCATGGACTTCAACTCCCAGAATTCCTGAGCCAGCTTAGCTGGCTCAGGAATTCTAGGAGTTGAAATCCACGAGTCATAAAAGAGCCAAGGTTGACTACCCCTAATATAGATGATGGGTGGATAGATAGATAGACAGACAGACAGAGAGATGGGTGGGTGGATAGATGGATATGTACATATAATGGATAGGAATTAGAATATCATACAGAGATACATACACAGATATGCAGAGATATATAGAGAGAAAATGGATGGAGAGATAGAAATACTGTCCTAGATAGATGATAAAGATAGATGATGGGTGGATAGATAGATACAGTGCTTTTTTTCTATATATAAAAAAAGGTGCCGGAGATCAAGGAGAGAAGCAACTTAGAACTAAGGAGAAACTTCCTGACAGTGAGAACAATTAACCAGTGGAACAACCTGCCTCCAGAAGCTGTGAATGCGCCAACACTGGAAGTTTTTAAGAAGAGACTGGACGGCCATTTGTCTGAAATGGTATAGGGTTTCCTGCCTGAGCAGGGGGTTGGACTAGATGACCTCCAAGGTCCCTTCCAACTTTATTATTATTATTATTATTATTATTATTATTATTATTATTATTATTATTATTATTATTAACTCACACACGTCATACAACCCGCCTTGCCTACCCTACAAGGTTCCATCCAAAAAAGGTGCCGGAACTCCGTTCTGGGAGTTCTATGAGAAAAAAAGCCCTGGAGATAGATAGATGGATAGATGGATAGATATGGGTAGGTGGATAGATATGAATAGATAATAGATAGAGAGAAAGAGATAGATTGATAGATGATAGATAGAAAATAGAATAGAATTTGAATTGAAAGGGACCCTGGAGGTCTTCTAGTCCAGCCCCCTGCTCAAGCAGGAAACCCAATACCATCTAAGACACAGAGGAGTCACGTGCCTCTTCTTTCTCAACCTGGGGCCTTTGAATGTGCGCGGACTTCAACTCCCAGAATGCCCCGGGCCAACCACGTGACGCTTCTAAGGCGCCCGCGTTGCCACACGCCGGCCTTGAAGGCAGCTCCTTCTGCGCGCCGTCCAAGCGGGGGACTCGCTTTCCCGGCAAGCTCTAGGCGAGTTTTCGCCGCGCGTGCGCAGTACGGACCCCTGCCTCTAAAGGCGGGGAGCGACAACCCGGCGCCCGCCGGAAACTGTGTAAGAGAGGGGGGGAACAAAATCCCCGCCCCCGCCCCTGCATTTGCCCAATAGAGGGGCTTCCCCGCAGCTGATCCCGCCCTCCAGCGAGGCCGGCCCCGCCCTCCAGCGGCGCGAGGCTGTAGAGGCGGGCCCTTCCTGGGAGGTCGCGGCTTCCACGCCCCGCCCCTCCTCTGCGCCCGCCAATGGCTGCGCCGAACGGCCGCTCGCTCTTGCTCCGCCTTCTCCCCCCCTCCTCCTCCGCGCGCGCTCCCGCTGGCCCCGCCCCAGACGCCGCCGGTGACGGGCGGTTGGAGCGCGCCCCCCTCGCGCCCCCCCCCATGGCGGTCCCTGTGCTGGGCGCCCTCCTGCTGGTGCTGCTGGTGCTGCTGGGCGGCCTCTGCCTGGGCAGGTAGGCTGGGGGGGGGCTCTCCCCCTCCCTTCGCTTGCCCCCCCCTTCCCGGCACGGAGGGACCCCCCCGCGTCNGCTGGTGCTGCTGGGCGGCCTCTGCCTGGGCAGGTAGGCTGGGGGGGGGCTCTCCCCCTCCCTTCGCTTGCCCGCCCCTTCCCGGCACGGAGGGACCCCACCGCGTCCCCCTCCCGTGGCCGGGTCTCCCTCCTCCTCCTCCTCCTTGGGGGCGCCTGGCCAGGGTCTCCCCCCCCCGCCCTTCCTGCCACCTGTCTCCACCTGTGGGTCCTCTTCCCCCCTCCCCTCTGGGTCCTCCCCCCCCCCACTGCCCCTGTTGGGGGGGGCCTCTGAGGGCGTGCAGAGGGTCTGCTGGCACCCCGGCTTTGGAGGAGGTGGGGGGCACCGGCTGCAGGGGGTTGGCCCCCCCAGGCTTTGGCTGGCTCCAGCCCGGGAAGGAGGGAGGGGGGGGTTGCTTGGGAGCAGAAGGTGGGTGGGGAGGGGAGATGGGGCACCCGGTGGTACTTAGGCAGGGGTCTCCCCCCCCTGGGCCGCTTTTAAGACGGGTGGACTTCAACTCCCAGAATTCCCCAGCCGGCATAATTAAGACCAGGAAGCAGGGCTGTCTGGGGAATTCTGGGAGTTGAAGTCCACCCGTCTGGGCTTGTCTACAGCTGTTCCTGCAGCCTCCAGGCTACTCTAAAGTTGGAGCAGATGAAGGGGGGGCGCTCCCCTTCCCTGTCCCTGCCTCTTTGTTGCTTCCAGGTGGACCTCAGTTTACGACAGTGTTTCTCAACCTTGACCATTTTAAGGCATGTGGACTTCAACTCCCAGAATTCCACAGCCAGCATTGCTGGCTGTGGAATTCTGGGAGTTGAAGTCCACATGCCTTAAAATGGTCAAGGTTGAGAAACACTGGTTTACGACCAGACAGAGCCCCAAATTTCCATTGCTAAGCAAGGCTGTTGTTAAGTGAGCTTTGCCCCGTTTTACGACCTTTCTTGCCGGAGTTGTGAAGCAAATCAGTGCAGTTAAATTAGTCACACGGTTGTGAAGTGAATCCGGCTTCCCCATTGCTTGTCACAAAATGGGGTCACATGACCCCGGGACGCTGCAAGCGTCATAAATATGAGTCAGTTGCCCAAAGAAGAGCCTGAATATTGATCACATGGCTGTGGGGATGCGGCTACGGCCGTAACTGTGAAAACCGATCATGCCGCTTTTTTTTCAGGGTCGTAATTTTGAACGGTCACTAAACGAATGGTTGTAAATCAAGGACTACCTGTCCTGAATTAAGAAAACAAAGTGGTGGGCAAAAAATCAACTGTGCATCGTTTATTGTCACCTTACTTTTAGAATGGAATAGAATAGAATAGAATAGAATAGAATTAGAATAGAGAATAAAATGTAGAATAGAATATAGAATAGAATTAGAATAGAATTGGAATTAGAATTAGAACAGAGAATAAAATATATAATAGAATAGAATTTAGAATAGAATGGAATAGAAAATAAAATAGAGAATAGAAAATAGAATAGACAATTGTTTATTGTCACCTTGCTTTCAGATTAGAATTAGAATTAGAATTAGAGCTGAAAGGGACCTTGGAGGTCTTCTAGTCCAGCCCCCTGCTCAAGCAGGAGCAGAAATTTTCATGAGAAGAGATTGGACAACTAGGTCTCCTGCTTGTGCAGGGGGCTGGACTAGATGACCTCCAAGGTCCCTCCCAACTCTGTTATCCTGTTAATTAATTTTTTTATGACTTGTGGACTTCAACTCCCGGAATTCCTCATTCAGCATGCCTAGCTGAGGAATTCTGGGAGTTGAAGTCCACAAATCATAAAAGGGCCAAGTTTGAAAACCCTGTTCTAATCTAATGTTTCTCAACTTTGGCAGCTTGAAGATGGGTGGACTTCCAGCCAGCTCTGCTGGCTGGGGAATTCTGGGAGTTGAAGTCCACTCATCTTCAAGCTGCCAAAGTTGAGAAAAGTTGCTTTGACCTTTTATTGGCAGTGGTTCAAGATCTTTTCCAGACATGTTCTGAGTTCAAAATGTGCCCCTTTTATGTTTGGAGAAGAGGAGGAGGAGGAGCTGCGTCTGGCCATTGAGTTAAATGACCCCTTCTGGCCCTGTTAGTTAAAGGATTCCCTGGTCTGTCCTCCCTGTAGGTGGCTCCTGTACATACTAATTACAAACTGGTGCCGGCGGCGTCTCCAGGCCGAGCTGAAGATCCAGTCGTTCTGGGTTTGGGGGATCCAGAATCTCAGCTTGAAGTTTCAAGAAGAGCAGCAGACGGTGGTGAGTAAGGAGCATCTTGTGGTCTCCTGAGGAGCAAGACTTAACTCTGGTGGGTCAAGCTCTCCCTGGGTTTCTCCTCTCTCTGGGAGAGAGTGCACGGTCTTATTGCGTGAGAATAAGCCAGGAGTAAACACAGTAAACAGTGGTCTATAGTAAATGGTGGTTTATCTTACGTTATCTATAATATCATACACAAGGAACAATATACATAGCCGTGTTAATACAACAGGATCCAACAAACGACAGTTACAGCAGGAAACGGAAGAGAGAGAACACGTCAGCAGAGCCTTCCCTTTATACCAAGGCTCTTAAAGAGACACAGACCCTGATGGCTCTTAAAGAGACACAGACCCTGATGGCTCTTCAAGGGACACAGACCCTGCTGGCTCTTCAAGGGACACAGAAACTGTGGAGTTATTCCCATCATTACATCTTACATTACATAAGCTGGTTAGCTGTTAAATCACCTCTGGGCAGATCCCTGCAATGACACCATAATTCTAATATTTATTCATTTATTATTGCATGTATGTGCCAACCCATCTCACTGTTGAAGCGACCGCATTGTTATGGCAAGGATTATTTTGGGGTGCTGGAAGGTGGGCCGGTGATCATTTGTTCTGCAGGACAGGGGTTGTGTAGGTTCTCTGTAGCCCTCCCCCATGTAAAACGATGTTGAGACTCTGGAAAGAGTGCAGAGAAGAGCCACAAAGGTGATTAGGGGACTCGAGGCTAAAACATATGAAGAATGGTTGCTGGAATTGGGTAGGCCTAATTTCATGGAAAGAAGGACCAGGGGTCACATGATAGCAGCCTTCCAATATTTGGGGGGCTGCCACAAAGAAGAAGGCATCAACTTATTCTCCAAAGCACCTGAAGGCAGGATAAGAAGCGACGGATGGAAACTCATCAAGGAGAGAAGCAACCTGGAACTACAGAGAAATTTCCTGACAGTCAGAACAATTAACCAGTGGAACTCCTTGCCTCCAGAAGTTGTGGGTGCTCCATCACTGGAGGTTTTTAAGAAGAGATTGGTCAACTGTTTGTCTGGAATGATATAAGGTTTCCAGCTCAAACAGCGAGTTGGACTAGATGACCTCCAAGGTCCCTTCCAACTCTGTTATTCTGATCTACATAATGATGATGATGATGATGATGATGATGATGATGATGATGATGATGTTGGAAGGGACCCTGGAGGTCATCTAGTCCAACCCCCTCAATCAGTGGAACGGACGTTGCCTTCGGAAGTTGATGGTGCTCCAACACTGGAGGTTTTCCAGAAAAGACCGGACAGGCATTTGTCTGGAATGGCCTAGTCCAGGGCTTTTCAACCTTTTCACCCATTGTGCCACTTTTAGGATATGGCAACATCCAAGTACCACCAGTTGCCTAACAAGGTGTCAAAAACTCGATGACCCCCCCAAAAGGAAAAAAATGATAAAGTACAGGTAGTCCTCGACTTACAACAGTGCGCTTAGTGACTGTTCGAAGTTACAGTGGCACTGAAAAAAGTGACCCCCAAGCCACAGCCGAGCAAGACACCTGCCTGCCCGCCCGGCCGCACTCTTCCTCCTGTCCGAGGTTTCCATTGTTGGGAGCATTTCTGTTGAGGATTGGCAGTGGGGGTGGGGTGGGGGGGTGTTTGGTCTTTATTCCCCCCCCGTCTGCTGGGTGGTTGCAGCAGGTTTTGGTCCCTTCACATGACCCTGGGACACTGTGACTGTCATAAATATGAATCAGTTGCCAAGCATCTGAATGTAAATCACAAGACCCTGGAGAGGCTGCAACATTCCAGCTGATCGGCGCTTCTTCTGGGCTCAGAAGCGCCAGGATCAGTGCTGAGCGCCAGCTGGATCCTGGCGCTGATCCTGGCTCTTCCACTGAGTCCTGACAGCCCCAAAGCGTCAATCAGCTGGAAAACGGCACTGATCCTGGCGCTTCCGCTGAGCCCTGACAGCCCTGCAGCTCCAGCCGTCTCTCGCTCAGGCTTGTGCAGTGCTGCCACCGGTTCAGCTCATTCCCCTCCCCCGCTACCCCTTTTCTAGGATGGGCGCGTACCACCTGCCAGGTGCCAATGGACCACAGGTGGTCCCCGTACCACTGGTTGAAAAGCCCTGGCGTAGGGCAGGGATGTCCAACTTGAAGACTTGTGTCCATAGAGATTCTCCGTCGTCCAGGTCCTGGTTGTCCCAAAGGACGAGCTGCTTGGAGGAGAAGCAAAACGTCTTCAGACACAACAAGAAAATCCCGTTGTCTCTTGAAAAAGTTCCTTTGGGTTTAAGACTTGTGGACTTCCAACTCCCAGAATTCCCCCACAGTCTTTAAAGTCAACAATTTCCAAGGTTGGATATCCTTGGTCTAGGGCAGGGGTAGGCAACCTTGGCTCTTGGGGAAAGGGAGAGGTTTCCAAGCTGAGCCATGCTGGCTCAGGAATTCTGGGAGTTGAAGTCCACGAGTCCTAAAAGAGCCAAGGTTGCCTACCCCTGGTTTAGGGTTTCCTACGCAAGCAGGGGGTTGGACTAGAAGACCTCCCATGGTCCCTTCCAACTCTTGTTGTTCTGTTCTTTCAGGAGATTGACAGCATCTGGATCTCCAGCAGGCTCCTGAACAATGACGTGCCGTAAGTCTCCAGGGCGTCTTGGGGGTCTTCTGGGCTCTGGGTGTTGAAAGGGGCGGCCTCCCCCGCCCCCCAGCCTCTCACCTGGGACTCTTCTTGGGGAGAAGTCCCCCCTCAGGAAGTGGACCCTGGTTGCCTTCTGGGGAGGACCCAGCTGGGACAGCCAGAAATATCCCTCTCAACTTAATAAATAAACAATAAATGCACGTGGGAAGTTTTGCGCTTCTGGTTGAAGACTACTTTACCCATCGTGCTGTCTTCTAGAAATCCCAGAGTTCCCAGCCAACTTTCTTGGGGTGTCAAATTGGGAAGAAATTGGGNTTAAGAGCCACCTCAATGCCAGAACAACACCTGTATCCCACTGCCGTTGTGTGGACTTGCTGTTTGCGACAACTTGGGCTTTTGTAGACATTCTCACATTGCATGATGGTTCTGTGGGTGCTCCGTCACTGGCAGCTTTCAAGAAAAGCTCACCACCCTTTGGGGTGGAATAAGGACTCCTGCTTGAGCAGGGGGTTGGGCTAGAGGACCTCCCGGGTCCCTTCCAGCCCTAGGAGTCTGCGATTCTGTAAAAAATGAAGAAAGGAAAAAGGGAGAGGGGAAGGAAGGGAGGATAGAATAGAGAGAGAGAGGAGGGAGGGAGGGAGGGAGGAAGGAAGGAAGGAAGGAAAAAAAAATAGGTTGAATGGATGGGAGGGAGGAAAGGAAGGAAGGAAGGAAGCAAAGGGGAGGGAGAAAGGAAGGGTAGAGAAAGGGGAGTGTGGAAAGGAAGGAAGGAATTAAGGAAGGAAGGGAAAAATAGGTTGAATGGGAGGGTGGAAGGGAAGGAAGGAATGGAAGGGAAGGAAGGAAGGAAGGAAGGAAGGAAGGAAGGAAGGAAGGAAGGAAGGAAGGAAGGAAGGAAGGAAGGAAGGAAAAAAATAGGTTGAATGGGAGGGTGGAAGGAATGGAAGGAAGGAAGGAAGGAAGGAAGGAAAAAAATAGGTTGAATGGAAGGGAAGGAAGGAATGGAAGGAAGGAAGGAAAAAAATAGGTTGAATGAATGGGAGGGAGGGAGGAATGGAAGAAAGGGAGGAATGGAAGGGAGGAAGGGAAGGAAGGAAGGAAAAAATAGATTGAATGGGAGGAAGGGAGGGAGGAAGGATGGAAGGAAGGAAGGAAGGGAAAAAATAGGTTGAATGGGAGGGAGTAAGGGAAGGAAGGAATGGAAGGAAGGAAGGAATGGAAGGAAGGAAGGAAGGAAGGAACTTCCCTGCTGGAGTTGTGGTTACTCCATTGCTGGAGGTCTGCAAGGAGAGACGGTCCAGGCTCTTGTCTGGGATGGTATAAGGACTCCTGCTTTGGACGGGGCTGGACTCAATGACCTCTGAGGTCCCTTGGATTCTGTGACTCTGGGCGCACGAGGTCCTCCATCTGTGTCTCTCGGGGTGGGACGCCGGCCGCCCCTCCCCGCCTCCAGCGGCCCCCTCTCCTCTGCCTTCCCCTGCAGGCGCTACCTGGCCTTGTGTTTTGGGGAGGTGCGCATCCGGCTGGATCTTCAGAAGCCCCCCGACCCGCAGCCGCCCCCCGCCCCCCTGCCCCCCACCCCGGCCGACGGGGCCCCGGACGAGGCGGTCTCCCTGGGGCCCTCGCTGCTGCAGCTGCTCAGCCAGGTAAGGCCCGGGTCCCTCGGGGTCCTCCCCCCCTCCCCCTCCCTTGGCCGGCGCTGCCC